TAAAAAAAAAAAAAAAAAAAAAAAAAAAAAAAAAAAAAAAAACATCCTGTTGCCATGGCAACCTGTGTTCTAAAATTAGAAATGCCTCACACAGTGGGGTAGCTGCCATAGAAAGAGCTGCTCAAAAATGCCTCTCATCCATCCATCGGTCCTCTGGAAGAGAGCTTGGCGCACCAGCCCAGCCCACCCATGCCACAGCCATCATCTCTCAGTGGGCGAAACCTTTTCAGCCTTCCCCCAGTTGCGCCTACATTCAGGTAGAGGGGTTTCGGTCCAGCCCATGGGGATTCTCCTTCATTAGGAGGCAGTCCATGCTGGATGCACTGTGCTCCCGGGTTCCCGGGGCTACAGACACATGTTCCTGGGGAGCCTGGGTAGGGCTTTGAGCCGGAAGGCAGCAAGGAGGCCAGGGCAAAGAGCCAGGCACACCCTGGGGACGCTGGTCACTCCTCCCTGCCTTCAGAGGATCAGGGTTTTGCCAGCATTTCACAGGGCTCAACCTGCAACCCCTTTCCACCTCTCATAGTCCAGCCCCTCTCGCCCCACCATCTTGGCCTGACCACTGCAAACCATCCAGAAACTAGTGAGCTGGACCCTGGGTCACTCCCTACCAGACAGCTTCAGAAAGTATTTGCACTAAACAGACATCAGGACTCCTTTCTCCTGCCAGGACCTGGGACCCTGCAGTCCCATTCCTTGTGGTCCCTTGGACTTGCCCCTGCCCTTTGACCACAGGCTGCTGCCCATCTCCCCCACTTTCCACCAGGGCATTCTTGTAAGTGAGCTGCTGAGTAGCCCGTGCACCCCTTGACTTCCATGGGATTCTGAAGGAGGCAATGAGGCGACATCCTCCCACCTGCTGTCATAGTGATTTTCTGGGTGCCAGTCCATAGTTTTTAACAGACCCGAGAGAGTATGGTCACCCAGTCACGGCTCTGACCACTTTGCGGTCTCCGACACGCTTGGCCTGCTCTGTGTCATTACTCATTTCCACCCAAGCCCCGGAGACACTGCTCGCCCTGCATCCACAGCTGCAATCCCCAGTGGCACAGCACCGGAAGCCAGCAGGACAGCACCCTGCAGGCACACATGACCATGGTGGTCACTTACAGGAAACCCTCCGGAGATGCTGCCTATCAACCTTGTGTAGATAGGAGGAGGCTCCTGACCCTTTGGGAGATGCTCAGGGTGTCCATCTCCTCCCAGAAGTTAGGTAAGAGGTAAACATTGCTGGGGGTGGGGAAGTGCTCCAGCAGTGTAACTACTTATAATCTGCCCAGAGCGTTCCGGTGACACAGCTTCCGTGAATTGACACTTGTGCTGGGATGGCGTTTTCAGTGATACAATTCTCTGAGAGTCAGCCATGCAGGATGCTGTAAGTAAATCCAGTAAACTTATTTGGCAAATGGTTTGCAATGGTATCCTCTCTTTACTCGGCCTGGTTTTCCCATTTTATTCAGTCAGGGACCCACGGAATGGTGTCACCCGTGTTCAGGGTGGGATTTCCTTACTGTCTAACTTCTCACTGACACACCCAGAGGTATGTTTCCATGGTGATTAACCGCCTTAGATTTAGAGGGAAATTTGAGGAAATGGAAGCTTGAGTTCGGACCTCAGGACTGGGACAGTGGTCTGGTGTGTAAAGTGATTGCCGTGCAGGCACGAGGCCCCCAGTTCAGACCCCCAGGTCCAGTGTCTTTCAAGGCATGATAGTGCGTATCTGTAATCCTGGCACTGGGGTCAGGATGAGGGATGGGGCAGAGACCAGTGTTTCCCAGGAGCTTACTAGCCTGTCAAATCTGGCTCCAAGTCAGGTGAGAGACCCTGGCTCAAAAGATGAGTTTGAGAGCAATAGATGGAGATAACCCAGGGTAGACCTATGGTCCCATACACAGGACCACACAATTGCATGAGCAGACGTGTGTGCACACCCACACACTTGTCCCCCCATACACACACCCCAACAAGAAGAGTCCCTGGGAGAATTCGTCCAGTTACCCCGAGAGGTCTCTACTAGTGCAGCCGAGGCAAGCAGGGTCAGAGTACCTCAACCTCAGCACCCCCTACCCACCTAGCAGATACATGAGGCGCTGGGACACATGGAGCTCACATCTGAAAGAAGTATGGTAGGGCTCGTCCTGAACGTGACAACAGCTCTCACCTTGTGCTCAGCAGCACCCATAGCGAGCTGCCCCGTTAAGATGAACTTCCCTGTGCAATTAACAACAAAAAAGTACATGAGTTGATCTGATCTTGCTGGGGATAAAATCGTTGCTCTGTCCTCTTTATAGGAAGAGTGCTCTGTGGTTGTAGGAAGAAACCAGGAAAACTGCAGACAGAAGAGCAGAGAGGTATGCCAGGCGGGCAATTACCAGTGATTGATGGTGTTTGTCTGGCCTCTGATGCTTATGGTACTTATGGGGTCTCGAAGTAAGGTGATTGGCTGAGATTCTCCTCACTCCAAATAAATATTCACATTTACAGCTATGTTTGTATTTACAGATCTCCTTTCTTCCTCACCTGGTTCTCAAAGGTGTAAGATCCCTGGGCCGTGCACCTGTGCCCACTTCTGTGTGGAGGGGCTGCAAACTACCCCCCATCTCTGGAGGACTGCGAGCCTCTCTGTTTCTGTCTCTGTCTCTGTCTCTGTCTCTGTCTCTGTCTCTCTCTCTGTCTCTGTCTCTGTCTCTCTCTCTCTCTCTCTCTCTCTCTGTGTGTGTGTGTGTATGCACATGCGTGCACTCTTATTTGTGTACAGTTTGCAGCCATTCTGATGACAGTGGGGGTGGGGGGCATAGAGGAATAGAGGAAGGTTGGAGTACCCAGCACAGCCTCATGTTTATGGGACAGTGGCCTCTCTGAGCAGGAAGGAACAATCTCTGACAAGTGCGCAAGTGACACTTCCTTTGGGGGACAAAGTCTGTTTTTGAAGGCCCACAAACTTCTGTTTCATGGCCCCCATCACCTTTAAAGAAACTGCTTTCCTGGGTGTGTATGTTGTGTATCTGTACATTTATGTCTATGTCTATGTGCTGGGGGTAGAGTTGCCTGCCAGTGTTTATGAGCATGAGGAGGCCAGAGGCAAATGCCAGTTATCTTCCCTTATTGCTCTCCTCCTTAGGGGAGCATACTCTCTCGCTGGACCTAGATATCAACCATTCATCTAGACTACCTGGCCCCAGTGATCTCCCTGGCACTGGGGTTACTGTCACACACCATGGGGATGTTAGGTACCCAAAAGCAGGACTTCCTGCTTGTATAGCAAACACTTTCCCAACTGAGCAATCTCCCCAGCCCTCCACAGCCTCTCGGTGCTCTTATGTCACTGTTGCTGAGCTGGACACAAGCCCTTCCTGGAGGGAAGGCACATACTACAGTGGGAGCTGTGGGGCAGAGCATCACAACAATGACAGGGGACCCCAGAAGCTCATCCAGAGCTTTCCTGAGTAGGGACTTGACTAACAAGTGTCTGGCTCAATCGCCATGGTCTAAGCATAGCTCACCAGATGTGGCTTTTCATGGAGCCACAGCCAGAATGCAAGGCCACCAGGCAATGGTTCTACTGCATATCTGCCTTCGAAAGCTTAATGTCTTAATGTCACCAGTTTGATAATCAGGCGGCCTCTTGGCTCTCATTGCACTTTCCACATGTCATTGACCTTGGCTGGTGTAGTAGGCACCACATCTTCCTGGTTCACTGATGCGGCATAGCAAGCACCCCAGTTGTCAAGCTAAAAATAATGAGGACACCCACTTAGCTCACAGATACACAATTTTGGAAGACAGCAGCTGTCTGAACCCTAAACACTGGTGGTGTGAGGACGAGGGCCGCGTGAGGCGGACAGAGGGCAGTGAGAGGCAGAGGACGACAACCACACGAGAGGTGGTATAACATGAGACACAGTGGCCCTTACTCTGCCGGTGCTCAGAGTTTCAGATTCCCTCACAGATGGAAAACCACTGCCTCAGCTCCCAGGCCAGCGGGTCTGAGCTCAGGTAATCAGTACCTCCAGGTTCATAAACAGATGCTCCCATTTAATGAGGGAATTTGCATGAGAAGGAACATCCTTGGACCGTGTGTGACCTGAGAAGTGTGCTGCTTGATGCCTTTATTCCTTCCTCTGTCACTGTGATTGAACACTTGCCAGCAGCAACTTAAAAGAGGTAGGGCATGTTCCCCTGAAGTTGAGGACCTGAGTTCATCGTGGCTGTGAGACTGGTTGTGGAGGCGAGAGCTTCCTTACACTGTGTGCATCAGGGAGAGAGAGGCAGAGAGGAAAGATAAGGACCACACTCTGTAGCTCTGGAAACTCATCACCCCAGTGATCCACTTCCTGCAGCTATGCCCCCCCCCCCGAAGCTTCCACACATCCCAGAACAGTTCCGCCCTATGTGGACCTAATGACAAAAATGAGTCCATCGGGGACATTACACGGTTAAACTGTTATATTCTATCCCAAGCCCCCACAGGCTTGTGACCATGTAATTAGTGCATTCGGGTGAATTTCAAAAGTAGCCATAGCCTTTAATAGTCCAACACTGTTCAAAAGTCCAAATGTCTCTTCTGAGACTCAAAGCAATCTCGTAGCTGTGAACCTCTGAAATCAAAGTGCACCTTACACACCTCCCATATCCAGTGGGATGAAGGAAAGGTCTCCATTCCAAAAGAACAGGGTTATAGCAAGGAAAGGACAGGCTGAAGCAGGTCAGGAGCTCAGCAGAGCTAATGCCAAACCCTGAAACTGCCCGTTCAGCATCTGGAGCTCGTGAGGTCGCTGTGGACACATGAGAGGGCTTGGCTAGTGCCGCTCCTGCTCTGTTGCCTATGATACGTGAATCTTCTCATAGCCAGTGCACTTGGTGCTTATAGCTTTCCTTGGTGAACAAGCCATACTTTTGGCATCTCTAATAGCCTAGGGTCTCTCCTGCAACTTAAGGCCTCACATTCACAGCCTCACACACGGTCCATTTGGAAGCTCCTTTTCAGGCCTGCTATACATTGCCCAACCTCAGGAGTTTTCTCAGACCTTGGCACAAGCTTCTCTCTTGTGTCTTGCATGACGCCTGTGAAGAAAGTACCACATACATGATGCCATGTTCGGCTGGAAGCTTGAGATGTAGCCTAGCCTCGTTAGCACATGGCTGCAGTGGCCTGTGTGTGTTTTGTTGGCAGAACCTGGAAAACCTCTTTCCAAGAAGCCACTTTCCAAAAGGGTCCCTGAAGGCTCTATCTTTCCTATTCTTTTTTCTAATGAATTCCCACTTTAAGTCCTAGAGTTCTGTTGACAGGGAGGGTCTCACCGTCAAGCACCTTACCTATTGTCTCAGTACAAAATATGGGTTTCTCTTAATTGTGTCATCTCTTTAACAGTCACGGGGGCTTCCTTCGTCCACACTGCCATGTCCGAAACTTTAACTCTTCACTCTCTTTCTTTGCCAAATCACACATTTTTCACATGTTTCTGCTCTGCTTTCTCTTTTGAATTTTCACTGCCAACCTCGCTAAATGAACTGAACAATAACCCCACCACAGCCTGAATATTTTGCTGTTTTGAATTTTCTTTCACCAAATGAACCTCATGTGATATCTATTGTAATTTTTTTAAAAGGCAGCTCAAGAGAGAAAGGTGCCATGTGACAGAGTTCAAGCAGAGGGGTTTTATTAAGGGAAAAGGATCATAGAAAGAAGGAAGGGGAGGGGGGGACCAGCCTCCAAGGACAGGAGCAGCAGGAGAGGAAAGAGAGGGAGGGAGGGAGCAGAGAGAGAGAGAGAGAGAGAGAGAGAGAGAGAGAGAGAGAGAGAGAGAGAGAGGGAGGGAGAGAGATGAATGAAAGGTAGGCAGGGCCCATTTAAAGAGGAACATAACGAATGTGCAGAGGAGGTGCTCTTAATGGCTGCAGCTGAGGGTGAATCCTGTCAGAACCCCAAGGACAGCCAGTACAGATTCCTGAATACTAACACTGTCACTCAAATTTGTAGAGCAGGAGCAGAATTCACCTAGTTTCTTTGCCAGAATGATACGAACAACCTTTCGCCCAGTTCACAGTAGAGTCTGCTCCCCTCTGAACCCTCATGGCCCTGGCCTTCACTGCCTGCCTGTGTCTCAGCATCCTGGTCTGGACTCCCACCCAAACAGTCCATTCAGCTCTCGTAGCATTCTGGGGCTTCTCTGACACACCACTCTTCCACGTTTTGGTGAAAACCAGTGCGGAAGGCCTAAGAACCATGTGGTCATGTCTGTTGCCCAAATGGTCCTACAACTCAGTACCAATTTCCGTGCATCAGTTACTTTCTTATCACTTGGATGAAACACCTGGAGGAAGCAATGGAAGGAACGTGTTTTGTCTCAGCGTGTGGGTGTGTGCAGACAGCCCATCGTGGTGGGGAAGGATTGACTGTGTGAATGGCCCACGGCTGTGGTGGTTGGAGCTTAGTCACATCCAGGTGGATCAGACAGAAGAGAGAGAAAGACACGGGGTCAGAAGCAAGGCTGGTTAAAATCCCGAAGACCCATGCCTGAGTGACTCACTTCCTCCAGCTAAGCCCCGCCTCCTAAACACTCCACAGCCTCCCGGGCAGTTCTTCCAGGGGGGAGCATGTGAACCAGGGAGGAGCAAAGTGGGGGCATCTCAAGCTGTAAGGGAACAGTAAAGGCAGCCACTGCACTGAGCTTTTCCGTCTGGGCATCTGCAGCTGTTATCCCAGAGAACTCACATCTGGAGGGGCATACACAGAGCCCTGTTTGTCAGAGTCCCCCCTGCAGCAACAGCCAAGCCCCAGGGCCTAGTTAACAGCAGGCTTAAAATGGAACAGGAGCTCCTCCAATTATATTTTCCATAAAAATACAATTTCCCAAAATAGCTGATTATTTTTGTACCTGTAAAGCCAGGCTGATGTGAGTGACTATGTGTGACTTTGAGCTGTTGCATGGATCTGAGAGTCACTAGCTGCTGGTCCTCAGTTTCCTTTCTGTGGGTCAGCGATTGTCCAAATGATCAGAGACCTGGAGCTTGGGAACATAGGAGAGGAAGGGTCCCAACTCCTCCCCACCATACTTAGGGAAAGGTGGCTTCCCATCTCAAGGAAGGATGGCTGGAGGGAACCCTTCGAGCTTTCCTGGTGAAGTCAAGGAAAGCTCTCACTCAGTGGTGTGTCACGGCTGCTTCATCCTTTTTATGGGTAGGGCTCCTTCTCACTAGCTGTCTCCTCCAGGCTCCCATGGGTCAGGTAGCTCTGGTGGAGGGTGGGAGTCATCCTTGAGTTGGACTCTGGCAGGGTGCATAGGAGATGTTTACAGAGAAGGCCAGGCCCCTCAGACTTGGAGCTATTTAATGAGAGGACACAGTGTCATCTAGTGCCTGGTCATAGTCAAGGAATGAAGCCACCAGAGGGAGTGGGGGCACCAGGGAACCTCAAAACACAAGTCGAGACTGTGCCTCTTGAGTTAGGAGTGTAGCATTAACAGAACTGGGGTGGGGGAATGATATGGGGGCACCTCAAAGCCAGTCTGCCCTGAATTGGGCAAGGAGAGAGGAAGGCAGATTGCAGGACAGGAATTTTGATCCATGGCCAAGCTCTTTCTGATGTCTGTTTCCTCAGCTGTCAGTGGAGGACACCAGCGCCCTCACCATGCCCTCTCTCTCGAGTCCCAACATTCTGCACTATCCTCACCAAGAGACAGGATGTGTTCAGAAATTCTCAGCCCAAAAAGAGATGCTGTGCTTCCTTCCAGAGCTGAGGACTCCTGCTTGCAGAAGAGAAGTGAGATGAGCCACCTACAAGCTGCTGGCCTCTGAAATGTAATAACTGTGTGACAAAGAGACATCGAGGAACAGTGGTAAGTCAGGAACCACACCCTGAAGGCCTGGGAAGACTCCTTAATCTATTTGAACTGGAAACCAAGTCCCAGTGTAAGTAGCCACCATGTTAATAGACTCTAAACTTGGATTCCTAGAAAGTCAGATCCCCAAGGAAGAGCTGCGTGTATATTTTTCTCAGCCACCTCCACAGGGGTGACATGGAAATTCCACTGCCTCCTGGTAAACAGGCACATGGCTCCTATGTCCTGGGACTGTCATGTGAAAAGCTTATGGGGAAGAACTGAGCATGTGTGGGTCACACAGCATTCTAGGGCTGAAGCATCACGGATCTGTGATGTAATGGCAGGAAACAACCGCTATGTATCTCACGGTGACTCTGCTCCTCTTCCAGCCTCACGAGACAAAGAGCCTCTGATAGCCACATGTCCTGAGGCCACAGCTCTTCCTCACTGGGACATCTTTCCTTTTCATGGCTCTTTGGTTAACAACTTCAAGCTCAGCTCAGTTTAAAAAGCCCAGGAAAACTCTGACATGTCTGACACACAGTGAACCCAGGCAGTCAGGACAGAGGACTTGGGAATACAAGTTCTGGTCATCTTCACAAGTCAGAACTGACAGAAGGGCTTTGAGAGTCACTTTAGTAGGGCAAAGATGCCACCAACCACCCTTGAGAATGATCTCTATGAGGTAAAGACACTGTCAGCCACCCCAGTGCTAGTGGAAGGACAAGATGTCCCAGGAACGGAGGAAGGAGAAGCCAGCATGACCTTGTAGCTGGGAAAACTTGTCCTATGAGCAGTCCAGATTCTAGCTGGTGGAAGACACTCTCCAGCCACCACTAAGCATAGTCACCATTGCCCTTCCTCCTGTAGCAAGAGAATATACCACTCACCATTTTCAACACATCTTAGTTTCTAGCAAACTTTATCAATTACCTTTATCAAGGTTTCTGTTGTCTTATTTCATGACATCCTGTTCATCCTGAGGCCACAAATGCCCACTGTCCTAGTTTGTTTCTAGTGCTGTGATGAATACCATGACCAAAAGCAACTTGGGCGAGGGAAAGGTTTCTTGCAGCTTCCAGGCCAGGAACCTAAGGCAGGAACCTGGAGACAGAAACTGAAGCAGGAATCATGAAGGAACGATGCTTATTGGCTTGCTCTCCAGGGTTCACTTAGTTTGCCTTCTTATACAGCTAGGACAACTTGCAGACAGGTGGTACCACTCAAGGGGGCACAGCCCTTCCACATCTATCATCCATCAAGAAAATGCCCCACAGACTTGCCTACAGGGTCACTCTGGTGGAAGCACTTTGTCAGTTGTGTCAAGTTGACAAAAAACCTAACGAGCATATCCACACACCCACAGCCTGGCAGCCCTGGAGTAACTTCTGCCCAGTGGGGGCCATGTAAATCCCACCTCCTTGCCATAGCAGCTTCTTACAGCAGTCTTCAGGAGGAAGAAAATTTAAGGGAAACAAAGCCAAGCAATTGCCAGCAAAACAGAGGAGGAACATGCACTCCTGGCCTTTACCATTTTTAATGATTTAAATCTCAACAGTTTATTTAATGTATTGTCTGGCAAGGGTTTTCAGTTTGCAATGAACCTGTTCGGGACAAAAGCTTCCAGCTGATGGAAATTTCTACTATGCTCCATAACGCTGACAATGAATGGGAAGACTGTAGGAATGATCTGTGGATCTGAACCGTTCACCAAGGGTCCATCTGAAATCCTGGATTCATGAAAACCAGGAGACACAATCTTCCTCCAATGCTCCAATGTATACTTAAAGGAATTGGTGATGGCTTGGGAAGGTGGCTTGGTCAGTAAAGTGTCTGCCTTGCAGGCACGAGGACCTGAGTTCAATCCACTGCACTCATGGTAAAATGCTGGGCTTGGGGGCTGGGTGTTAAAATGGTTTAGGGGTACAGGTAGTGGCACACACCTTCAATCCCAGCACCCCATAGGCAGAGGCAATCAGATGGATCTGAGTTTGAGACCAGCCTGGTGGTCTACAGAGAGAGTTCTAGGACAACCAAGACTACACAGAGAAGCCCCTATTCTGAAAAATAATAAACAAACAACAAACACAGAAAATATGGAAATAAAATGAAATTTTTCATTAAAGAAAACTGGTTTAAGGGTTACAGCACTGGTTGCTCTTCTAGAGAACCTGTGT